AGCAGCCTGACTTCACCCTCTCCGGGACAAACCTCTTTGTTCTCCTAGCAGTCCATGGTATATTCAGCACAAAAGCTCAAGGCATCAACTCTCCTTCAATAATCCCTAGTCATTGTCCAGCTCTTTGATGTAATGCAAGTAATTGCAAAGACCACACACACACACACACACACACATTTGTGTGTATAGTACTTTAAACAAAAAATTAAAAGTTCTAGGAAATATTAAATTTGTTTTACTACACAAGAAAAAGACTAAAAACACAATTACAAAATGGGCAAAAGACATGGAAAGAATTTTCAGAGAAGATATTTGGATGGCAAATAGACACATGAAGAACGTCTCAAAATCACTGGCAAAAAGAGAGATTCAAATGAAAATCACAACGAAGTACCATCTCACTCCAGTAGCAGTAGCAAAGTTTAATAAGATAGCAAGTAATAAGTGTTGGAAAGGATGGAGCAAGATAGAAACGTTAATACATGTTGATGGGATTGTAAAATGGTACAAACACTCTGGAAGGCAGTTTGGCTTTTCTTCAAAAAGCTGAACTTAGAAATTCCATATATACCCTGAGAAAATTAGAACTGAGGCACAGAGATTTGCACACCAATGTGCACAGCAGCATTATTCACCATCACAAGAATATGGAGACAGTTCAAGTGTCCAATAATAATCCAATGGATTGAGACATTATGTTATATTCACACAATGGAATACTATACAGCATGCAGGACCAATGATTTTGTAAATTACTACCTAACTTGGGAGAGACTGGAAAGTATTATGTTAAGTGAATTTTCTCAGTCCTGTAAGAACAAATACTGTATAAGATCATTATTGTAGAAATAGATAACTAGTAAAATATGCATGAGGATTAAGGGGGAGAAAGAGGAATACAGGAATAGGGATGGGTGGGGTGGGGCAGGGGGGTCACGTGGTTTGATGGGTGGAGGGGACGTGAGTTGGGGAGGTGGGGGGAACCTGATATGAAAGACAATGCACACAAACTTTGTAGGTAAACTAATGTAAAAGAAAAAAAATAGGATTGCAAGAAATAAAGAAAAAAACTTGTCTTAGTATAGAGATGTTGTTGTTTTTGTTGTTATGTACCGTCGAGTTGCTTGAGACTCATAGTGACCCTGTGTACAGCAACCCTAAACTCTGCTCTGTCCTGTGCCAATTGCACTGTCTCCAACACACCCATCCCTATTACCCCAGTCACTGAATCAATCCCCCTCATAGAGGGCCTTCCCCTCATGTGCTGTCCCTCCACCATACTAAGCATGATGTCCCTCTCCAAGGACCGGTCCCTCCTTAAGCTGAATATAACCATATAAGAGAAAAATAATAGAAAGACATTACAAAAAATACCTTCCCATGTCCTTCCTTCCTTCCTTCCTCCCTCTCTCTCTCTCTCTCTCTCTCTCTTTCTTTCTTCTGTCAAAGAAGACATAAAAAACAAGAAAAGAGCAAAAAGAGTCTTCCTGG